CAGGCCACGGCCACACACCGGCCACTAACACACGCACGAATGGATCACCAGGCCACTATGCTGGCTATTAACGACACAACCGACATGCACGTCCACGATCCAGCGCTCACGTAGCTTTCTACTACCAGCCACGAAGACCCAGCCGTTCCTAAGAAGCAGCTAACAACCTCATGCCTAGCTAACTAACTGGAGTCTATCCGTGACTAATTAATTTCCTCGTCTGCTGCATGCGCCACACACACACGCTGGTCACCACACCTAGACGTGGTTTACTCCTAACATTGTGTACCGCCCTGCGTGTCGAAGCAGGTCTTGCGCGATTGTAAGAACTCTATTCTCATTGACTAATACAGTGCCTAACTTGCTAATGAGCTTTTCATTTGTATAAAAGGAAATAAGTTCATACAAATGACACATTTCCTACATTTGTAGTACAAGAAGAATAACAAGGCATGGTATAAAATCAGCAACACACTTTTGATGTGATGAAGTGGCAAAAATAAATGAATTCATGATGGATAATGATTCGCTCATGAACTCTAAAAATCCTAACCAGACAACACATTAGAATTCAGCCGGAGGAACGCAAGATAGAGGGGCAGCTAGATCAATAAAATTATAGATTAAAGGACAGATAAAGGGTAAACCAATTACATAACATATTTAATGCCTGTCTGACCAGTACAGACTAATGCAAGTATTCATTATATGTAAGGAAGCCTCACAAAGGATATCGTTTTTGGAACAGAAGCAAAGCCTGCAACTACCAGATGACCCATTATAACTTCTCTAATGAATCCTTCCGAATGATGCAAGCTTTTTATTTACTTGTAACTGTGGTGCAGAAGTAGGATTCAGTAAAACCTGAAAAACAGGTTTTGCTGATTAAGAAGATATGACAATGTACCTGCTAATCATTCCAGGAATCACACGAGGCACCATAACTGGAGGTTTCTTATTGCTGACACGTAAGAATTCTCGTATTCTTTCCATTGCTCTCGCTTCTCGCACAAAATCAAACTCATAGCATATCTATGGAAACAATGAAGCCAAAAGATCAATAATTCACAGAAAATGGTTAAATTATTAGTTTTGATCTCAGAAAAGGTGCACATTCTTATGAAAACAAATTATACTTTCTCGTATCTCTTGGCGCATAAGAACCAAACTGGCACTCACATAACATATACTCGTATAGGAGACGCATCATGCAACTTTATGCTTCGCAGTATACAGATATCTGGCCTGCTACAATCGAATACTAATAGTAAAAAAAAACACTAATAATGTCCCAGTAAATGGTTATCTTATCTTGTTTCTAATGGTCCAGATGTTGAATACTGAGATTGCACTTATTTATTTTTCCAGTAAGTAAATAGCCTTAGTGGCCCAGTTTAGTCCACTTGTGGATGTGTGGATATGATCCATCATTTTATAACAAAATCTCCATTCACTTTAAATGACACCCCATTTTTATCACAGAGTAAATGATTACATTTGAACATACAGGCCAGTCTGCCTTAATTTACAAAAAAAGAGAATAATAAAAACCGCAAGAGGCTCAATATTTCTAGATGGTTTAGAGCAGGTGCAGAGAAGTATACTAGGAGAAGCAAAAATAACAAAAGTACTAGTGAACTAAACAAAAACCTGCTTTTCCATCTCTTTTGTGGCGGAGAACAGATCAAAGTTGATGTCATATTTCTGTAAGAACAAGGCAAATGCTTGCATGTTCCGGATATCAACCATCATCAATTGTTCAGCTCCTGGATGTTGAACCTGGATAGAACCAGATCCACTAGGGCACATCAGAGCATATCAGATAAGGAAACAACCGTTTATGGAACACATACATGCAGTCCTAAGTCGTACCTTGACAGCAACATCTGTCTTTGATGATTTAAGCCTCGCTCGGTGCACCTAACCAAATATGAAGCCTATTGAGTGAGAGGCTATTGCAATTATTTTTACAATAAAATGTAGTGGCACAGGGAAACGAATGGCACATGCATAGGCCCAAGACTGAAAAGAAAAATCATGCAGAGCACCAATGTTACAATTCACCGGATCTTCAGCCAAGAGAAGTACCTAAACACGAACCTGTGCAATAGAAGCAGACCCAACAGGCTCAACTTCAAAGAAATCAAATATCTCATCAAAGCTCTTGCAGAACTGTTTCTCTACAACATCTCTGACAACTTCGATCGGCGTGGACGGAGCCTTGTCGCACAATGTAACAAGCCTCTTCACCCAGGCCGTCGGCGCCAAATCGGGCTTGCCCAGAATTTGAGCAGCCTAATCGAGATAAAAGGTGAAAGAATGTGAGTATAGCTAGGCTGTGGCATCTGTTGGAGTTAGCGAAGCTTCTCAAAATGATCCTCCGATTCATGTAAAAAAAAAAGTAGGAAAGACGACCGATCAGAGGGGAACACAGAAAGCAGCAGGCAGGGAGGGACCTTGAGGAAGAGGCCGCCGAGCTCGGAGCAGAGCGAGTACATCTTCTGGGCGCCGATCTCGTGCTGCTGCTCCCACATGGCCTCCCGCTCCTCCTCATCCTTGACGAACCCCGTGCGCAGCTGGCACACCTGAAGACCGACCAAACCAGCCAACGAAACACCACGGTGAGCTCACACGCATAGAACCGAACACCTGGCGCGCGCGCGGGCGGAGGCGCCGATGGAACAGGGGAAGGCCCGTCCTCCCCGCACGTACCTTGTAGCTGCCGTAGATGTCGACGGCGCGGACCCAGAACTGCGCGGAGCGGCTCCACGGCCGGAACCGGTCGGAGAGGCGGTCCCGCAGCTCCTGCACCTGCGCCAGCGGCGGCGGCATTGCGGTCGCCGGAGAGGGGAATGGATGGATACAGTCTAGAATCTAGATGCCCCCCTGCCTTAATGACGCGCGCCGCAACATCCGACTCGTGGCTCCAAGCGGCTGGGCGCTGCGCGTGCGTGGGCGGCGAGCTGGGGCGAAGGCGGAAAGTGGGAAAGGCGTGGGCCTTTGCCGGCCACAGAAAAGAGAAAACGCTTCCACCACGTGGTCGGGGACGGACGGCTGTGATCGCGTCGCTCCTCTTGCCGGCTCTGCTTCTGTGTGAGCTAGTCAGTAGTTCTCCATGGCGGCGGCGAGGGCGGGCGCGGCTGCCCGGCGGCTGTGCCACGCGGCGGCGGCGGCGCAGCCCCCGCGCCTGAAGAAGCTCGCGCTGCACCCGCCCAAATCCGTGAGTCGCTTGCCCCTTCCCCCTTCTTCCCTCCCTGCAGCGACGTTTTCCTCCTCCTCAGACCCCCTCAGATTTACCTGATTCCTGCTCTTCTGTGCTACCGTGGGTTGGTGGTAACTGCTCTGATTGGTCGTCTAGCCGTCTTAGCCGTTCAGTGCTTCCAGTTTCAGCTGAAATGTAAAAGTTGACGCTTCCACGGCAGCGCAGGAAAAAAGACATTCCGTGTGATGGTAATGCGCCACTTGTGAGCGCTGAAACTGACGTGAAATCCTGCCGTGCGGTCCATGGCGAGCTCCCTCCCAATCTGGTAGGGGAAAGCGACATTTGCCTCGCATTCTCCTTGCTGAGAGCTCTGGAATCTGGCATCTGATTGGTTATCCATTCCTCACCAGTCGTACTGTATTTTCGGCACGTATGCATTTCAATGACCTTATCCAGAATTCACAAATTCATTCAGTTATCTCCATTGGCTGGCTATTGCTGGTATCTTGACGGATCAATCGTTAACAAAGCGCTGTGTGATATTATTATCTGGCGATGAATTTGGAATGTAACCTAGCACCAGAGGATCTTGATGTTCAATCTTATTTCTGTCTGCGACCCTAAAGCATCAGGCATCTGCTATGACTGAAGCAAACTTACACACGACAACTTGCTACAGAGAATCTTGATATTCAATCTTATTTCTGTCTACAACCCTAAAGCATCAGGCATCTGGTATGACTGAAACAAACTTACACACAACAATTTGTTACAGAGAAAGACTCGCTTTGTCTGAATGTGATAACCATTAGCAGTTTAGCACATAAAGTTGGTTGCAAAAATTGCTAGGAAATTATTCCTCCCTGATACTAACTTGCTGCAAATGTCCTATCTCATATCAGTGATTTGAACTATGTTTCTGGTTGTTCTCAGGTAGAGGTTCAATTTGCAGATGGCAGTACATTCCATCTGTCGGCTGAGTTTCTCAGAGTCTACAGTCCAGCAGCTGACAGCAAGATCAGATCAATAGCTGGCGAGAAGGTAAACTTTTACTGTATCTTCTGTATTCCTTTTCACCACTTGAAGTGGGGAAACCATTTTTTCTCAGTTGGTAAGGGCCTGATGCTTCTATGGCAAGTTTAGAGCCGTTTGCTAACCCTGGAATGTTGACCTGTCCTACAAAACCTTGGAACAATACCCCTTTATAATATTACTAGCATATTTTGGTGGTGTGTATTTAGTTGTTTGCTAAGTATTTAACCCTTTAAATTATGCCAGGTTATATTTGGGCGCCGACATGTTGGAATAATGTCAGCTGAATCAATAGGAAACTATGGAGTCCGGTGAGGGTCATATTCTTTGTAGAATAGATTTCATGGAGATTTATCTACTTCGGACAATAGTATGCCTCCTGCAGAAAATAGTTGGTTGTGCCATCTCTATCTCTCAGAAACTATTAATTTGCTTTTGTCTGCAAGTCTCATCTATAGCGACTCTTTTGGACCACAGGATACTGTTTGATGATTTGCACAAGACTGGGATCTTCACTTGGGATTACTTGCACCATCTGGGTTCTAACAAATTCAGTCTATCACGAAATTATATCAGAACTTTGAGGAAACATGGTCTTAGTCGGGATCCTCAGAGAAGGAAATGATGATAAGTGTTTGCGTGTGTTAAACATGTAGATACGACGGAACTCAAATAGGCTTTGCCTACCATGTCCTGGAATTCAGAAAAACTGTTGCCTTGAGGGAGATGGATGGAGCTTCTGCATGTGTACGGAATCTCTTATTTAGATAACTTGGTACATAGTGACTGAAACTGTGTTTACGTTGAAAATATGGTAAAATTCTTTACACCGAGTTTATATATGTGCTGGATGGGATTGTATGTCTTTCTTGAGTTGTGCTGGTAGAATTTGTTTCCTTGTCCATTATGAATTGTGCATGAAATCGTTTGTACTCTATATTTGAGATCGAACAGGAGGTGAGGGAAAGATCATCATGGCAGCATGCTACATGTACCCCTGCTCGTGTAAACAATACTACCCTCCATGAAAGTAGTAGCCCGGTAAACAACTTCGGCATGGAGTCAATGGGCTTGCCATGGCAGATGCCTATGAATACCTTGCCGCATTTATTGTCGCGTGCCATGGGCATCTCACCGGTTAGGAGCTTGCAGCAAAATGGGCTCCTCATGAACGAACCGATACAGGGAGAACGACCTACTACCCACGATTAGATCATGGATCTTAGTTTTGCCTTCCTCCATGGCCATGCATGCCACTTCAATCTCCGATGGCAACACCGATCCTAGCTCCTCCATCAGCTTGCTGATCTTTGACAGCACCAGCTCAACCACGGTGTCCCTACTCCTTCTCGCGAGAGCATGCTCGGGATCGACAAAATTTGCACTTGGTTTACTCCAGTATCTCACTTCACAAGGACCAGTAGTAAGGTAGACACCCAAAAAGGTTAAGATACATCTTGCTTGCTTCGAAAAAAGCCTCCCGGCAACACTCTTGTCTAACCATACAGTGATACAGATGACTGAGGGAGCTTATAAAAGTGTGTACTGAAGGGGTTGGTTCACTCGAGTATCTCACATTAACACCTCTATTATATATAAAGTTCAAAAAGTTCAAATACATCTCAATTAGCTCAGCTGACCAGAGCTGGAAAACTATATAACCTGGACTCGTGGAGACAAAAACTACGTCCCACTCCTTTGACATGCTTGCGACTCATTTGATTATCACACCCCCGGCTCATGTAGATTTGACTCAATGATCATTATCACACCCCATCTCATGCAGATTAGTACGGATAAACTGCACACATCACATCATCTTCCTGGAGCATACACCCATTGATCAAGTTGGAGAAGGGCAGGTGCCCTTCTCCACTGGCATACATGCCTTTTCCATCTCCCTTCGCAGCGCCGAGACTAAGGGCATCTCCAGCCGCGCCTTCAGGAAGGCCTTCCCAGGTGTTTTTTTGCGCCGGCGCGAAAAAACGGCTCAGTCGCGCCTCCAGGAGCCCGATTTTCGCCGGCCTGGGCCGAAAACAGCGCCGGCGGACCCAGGGCGAACCCGGCCGCTGGGGGGGCGCCGGGGCGAACTGTTTTGGCGCGAAAAAGCCGCGGGCCAGCCGCGTCAGGGACACGGCGTCTCGTCTTCCCCCCAACTTCCTCGATTCCCGCGGGGAATCAATGGCAAGGCTGCCGCCGGTCAGCCTTGCCATTGATTCCTCACGGGCGGCGCGTCTCGAGACGGCGCGCCGACGCCTCCCCTCCCTCGCGCGCGTACACACGGCACGGAGCGGCTATAAAAGCCGGCGGTTCTCGCCGGTGCGCACACCAGACTCGCCCCTCGCCGCCGCCCAGCCCCTCTCTCTCCGTCTCCGTCTTCCTTTCCCGAGCGCCACCGGCAACCCCTCTCTCCCTCTCTACCATCGCCGAGCCCGTCGCCATGGCAGAGCGCTTCCCCGGAGACGAGGCGGCGGCGAACGGCTTCGGCCGGCGTTCGCTCCGCGAACAGGAGTCCTGGCTCCAGTTCCAGGCGAACATCCCGGCGCCGCCGGACATGCGCGCCGGGCCGACGGGGTGGCGGCTCAGCGACGGGGGAGTGCCCGTTCCCCCGTTACCCGACGCCGTGGCGAAGCCCGCGTACTTCGCCGAGGAGGCCGAGGTCGCGCGCGCCTCCCTGACCGACGACGAGCGCTCCCTCCCCCAGTACGCCGCCGACAATCACGCGGCTTGGGCGGGGTACTTCCAGCGCCGCCAGCAGCAGCGCCTGGCCTCCACCAACGACGCGCCGGTGGTCGGCGGCGTGAAGAACAGCGTGGGGCGCCACCTGTGGTGGGGCGTCCCGGGCCGCACGCTGGAGGGCGTGCTGACGCACCTCGACGGCGGCAACAACCCGCCGTTGACCTATCCTGCAACGGGGGCCGCCCCGTCGCAACACCGACGTGCATGGGCGCCAAGGAGGTTCGCCTCCTCCTCGTCTTCCTCCTCTCGCTCATCTTCCCACTCCTCCGGTTCTCCGGCGCTTCTCGGCGTCAAGGCTGAGCCCGCGGCGGAGACGCCAATCAGTCGGCGCACTCGCAGCATCGGCATCGTCATCAACGAGGGCGGCCGGCGCGCCCCCTCCTCGTTGGCTCCTCCGCGCTTCGTCAAGCCGAAGAAGGAGCCGGGGCTGGCGCCGGTGAAGATGGAGCCGGGGCTGGCGCCGGTGGAGGCGGAGTTCGACGACGACGACGCGGTCCTAGAATGGGCGCTCCAGGACTCCATTGCGATGGAGAAGGCACGCCGGGAGAAGGAGAAGGAACGCCAGCGCGCCGCCCTGCGCCGCTTCGAGGAGCGCCGACGCGGCCGCGTTGAAGACGGGGTCGTCGTCTTATGCGACAGCGACGACGACGACGACGCGCCGCCGCCAGTCCGCCATGGTGACGCCGGGCCAGGGCGCCCGCGTCAAGGAGGAGAAGGCCGCCGACGACGATGGCGGCGACGGTGGCGACGACTTCAGCCATTTTCTTTTTTAGATTAGGTTAATGTAATGAAAATGCGCGAATTTCACCGAAATTTGCCATGTTTGGCCGAAATTTAACTAGTTTTTATCATAACTTCGCCGAACGGTCCTTTTTTTTAAATACGCGCCTGGGGCGGCCCTAGGGGCCGACGGCTGGGGACCGACTCGCCCCCAGGGCCATTTTTTCGCCGGCTCACCCCCAGGCGGCGCTTTTAGATGCCCCCTGGGGGGCCAACGGCTGGAGATGCCCTAACTCCACCAACACCTTGCTGATCTTGGACAGCACCAGCTCAGCAAAGGCCCCGCTGCTCCTTCGAGTGAGAGTATGTTCGAGAAGAACGCTGCGCAGCTTGTTTTGGAAATATGAGCAATATATCGAATGATTTTATTGACAGAAATATTAGATAAAGTACGACTAATATAGCAGTGATAAAACGAGTCATGCGTTCTGACAGAGAGAAGGTAAATAATATCTGCATATATGAACTGTAGCCTAGCATATCTAGAGCAGGCAGTAGAGGTAGTCGCATATATGGAGTAGAACCTAACACATGTAGGACAAGTGCTAGTACGGGAAACTGTGGCATGACATCTGACAGAAAGAAGAAGAACACATACGTGACAGCAGCAACTGCAATACTGGACTTGGGGTCGGTGTCCTCGCCAGCCATGTCGTCGAGGAGGTTGTCGACATCGAGGAAGTAGTTGTCGTCGGGGAAGTAGTCGTCGGAGTCCGGGGCGTCCATGACGAAGAAGTCAGTAGTCGCGCTGAGCGCTCCCCAAAAACCTTATCACCCTTCTCTCGTACAGGACTCAAAGAGGTGCGATTTCGGAGGCCTACTGTCCTGACTCATTGTGCACGCCGCAAGCCGGGATGAGGAAGACAGCAGCAGCTCAGAGATTGGAACCGGTGGCAAGAGGAATGAGAAGTTCTGGTGCGTCTCTGTGAGAGGAGCGACCTTTCTTTCATAGGCGCAAGAGAAGGAGGCGAGAGGGCAGCGACGGAAGGTGAAACGAAGAGACGAAGATGAATCGAACAGCCAGCAGCTGAAGGGCTGCACCATTCGCATTCAAACTCCACTATCATAAAAACTTTTCAGCTTCCATGTGACCTTTCGTATACCCGTAGTGCGTGGAAAAAACTTAGACATCGGCTCGGCTCATTCTCGCAACCCACGGCGCGGTGCATCGTGACGAGGCGGCCGGCGGAGGAGGAGCGCGCGTGGATGTCCCTCTTGTTCTTATGCTCATACAAGTGGGGAAAGAATCTCCCTTATAAAGAGGTCCAACTCCCTCTAAACTAGCAATGTGGGACTAAACTTTAGTTTCACCTCTTGCCTTGCACAAATGGGCTGCGTGGGTCTCTAGGATTTATTAGGAATTTCTGAAACTGCTATTGGGCTAGGCCCAAAATAGACCAAATTCCAGCAATCCCTCAGCAGATCCCAGAGGCACACAAAATTTGCCTTTGGTTCCAAAACACTGTTTTATATACCGGTACTGCAGTGGAGACTGTTGAGTTGAAATTTCACCTAGAACTCTATGCTACACTAGTAAACAACTTAAACAGTGGACAGGGCCTTGAACTGCAAGTTTTCTGCGAATCTAACTTCACATAAAGCCTTGACCGATACGTGGCTACCGTGGGTCTTCCCCGCGGGTGGAGCTTATGCGTCATACTCCGAGACCTTTAATGAGTTTACTAGAGAGAACCCTACTCTCATAGATTGCGACGTTTAACAATTAGACTCATATAGGTGTGTTCTTCAAAAGATGTTCTGCAGGACAACATATTTTCTTAAATGAACCACTTAGAACACATTAAGATATAAATCAAATTGCCATGCAGTTTTAGGAGAGTATTGCATCTTCATGGAGTGGTATTGTTAATAGTGAGGATACTCTCATCTCAGTTGATCAACAGCTTATCTTCCACATCTAATTCACGGGATCTCCGATCACAAAGAATAGGTTACCACTGTGAACAACTCATATTGTGGGTCTCATACCATCTCCCTCGATGCATTATCTATCACATTACATGATAGACCCTTAGTAAAAGGATCTGCCAGATTTCAGACGTTTGGATATAATCCAATGCAATAACTCCGGAGTTTTTCATTTTC